GAATTGGCTAGGCAGTTAGGGTAAAAAGACCCCAAAGAAATGTAGCCAGTTTCTTCGCTAAAAGTCAAAATGTCCTTGGGCCTGTTAGCGACATGCTCTTTCCAAAGGCCAAAAATGTCGAAAGTATTTGAGAGCTTGTATCTAATCCTTAAAAGATTTTAGGGATACCTCTTCAGAGGGGGAATGTTAGAGTAGCCAAAAGCCCCATAAAAATAGCCGGGCGTGGTGGCGCAGGCCTTTAATCCCAGCACTCGGAAGGCAGAGGCAGGCGGATCTCTGTAAGTTCAAGGCCAACCTGGTCTATTTAGTGAGTTCCAGGACAGCTGGAGCTACAGGGAGACCCTGTCTCAAAAATACAAATAAATAAGTAAATAAATAAATAAATCGACCGGGCGTGGTGGCGCATGTCTTTAATCCCAGCACTTGGGAGGCAGAGACAGGCGGATCTTTGTGAGTTCGAGGCCAACCTGGTCTACATAGTTCCAGGACAGCTGGGGCTACAAGGAGACCCTGTCTCAGAAAGACAAAAAAAATAAAAGGAAGAAAAAAGAAAAAAAAAATTAAAGAAAGAACTACTGTATAACCCAGCAATTCAGTGTGTACCCGAAAGACTTAAAGTTTTATACCTTTTTCATAGCAGTATTATTCATGTAGCGAAAGATGAAAATAATCTGACTGTTCATGAGCAGATGAGTGGATAAACCAAATGTACTTTAGCTACATATTCAGATGTTACATTGCCCAAACAAGAAGTTCTGATATATACTCTGATTAAGCTTGAAAACATGCTAGTGTTGTAAAATTTAACTTTGAGTTAAAATTTTTTTATTCTGTTTATTATTTTATGTGTATGAATGTTGCACCTACATGTTTGTAGGTGCATGTGTGTCATGCAATGCATGCGGGATCCAGAAGAGGATGTTGGATTCCCTGGAACTGGAGTTACAGGTTGTTGTTAGCTGCCATGTGGGTGCTGGGAACTGAACCCAGATCCTCTACAAGAGCAGCCAATGCTCTTTACTGCTGAGCCAACTCTCCAGCCCCTTAACTTTGATCTTTTAAGAAATCATTAATTTTTGAGGTTTTGAGCCTGGTGTAGTTGCTTTTTAAAAAGCCATATCTTGGGCTATATATATGAAGAAATAAGGTAGCTGGGATTTATTTCAGGATAATCCTGAAGAGGGACTGAATGAGAAGGTGTGGTTGAGACAAAGATGGCAGTGAGCTGATGTTACTATAGCAATCCAGCAAGTTACATGTGCATCAGTCACAAGTCTACTGTTTTTCTTTGTTTCATGGTACTCGAGCTCAAACCCAGAGAGACTCTTGCATGCTAGGCAAGGACTTAATTGTTGAGCAACACTCTAACCTTCTACTTAAAATTGTCCTTAGTATAGGCATTTTAAAAATTAAAAATCAGGAACCAGGTGTGGTGGCGCACGCCTGTAGTCCCAGCACTGAGGAGGCAGAGGCAGGCAGATCTCTGTGAGTTCAAGGCCAGCCTGGTCTACATAGTGAGTTCCAGGACAACTGGGGCTACAGGGAGACCCTGCTTCAAAAAAAAAAAAAAAAAAAAAAAAAATTAAAAATCAAGCAGGTTTGGTACTGCAAGCCTGTAATCATGCCTATTCAGAAAACTAAAGCAAGAGGCTCATAAGTTCAATGCCTGCCTGCTCCAGTGAGTGAGTTCAAACCTAGTCTTTGACAACTTAGTGAGACCCTGTCTCAAAATTAAGATTGTCTCCTTGGATTAAGACTAACTTGATGGCTTATCTTGTTGCAGGATCACATTTTACTGTGTGAAGGCGAAGGCTCTAAATCTGTCCTGAAAGGTGAGCTTATTACCTGGACCTTCTGTGTGACTTCCCTCTGAAAGAGTTGCAGATGTAGATGGCAAACAATGGCAGCATTTCTCTGTACCTTCCAAGCCATGTGACCAAAACAAGCACAGGAGAGTGTATTACTGAGAGAATTTTGTGTTTGAAGAAAGCTAGGGATATGAGCATAGTTACTTCTAATAAAACTTTTAGATTTTCTAAGCTCTTAGAAGCTCATTACATCAGTGTGAAGGACAGGGATCCACAACTTTTCATGAGTTCCAGACCAAGGCAGGTGGTGGTAGAACTCAGAAGATCATGGGGGTAGAGGAGTAGATGTGATGCCTCTTTGTAGCAAAGAGAACTGGAGCATCTTGACTCATCCACCCAAGTGCCAGCTGCTTTGGCTTTAGGCTGAAGTTCAGGGTTGGAGTCACATGTTCTGTGAGCTGACTAGTCACTATTTCATGCAACTGATCACTAAGATACCTTAAAAATTGATTGATTAAAAATACCCTGAGCAATAGTGACAGGAATTGTGGCTTAGGCCCCCAGGTAAGGTATAAGCACACTCCTTTTCAAATTTACTCAGAGTACTTACTTATACTTAAGGCAGAAGAAATGAATGGAGTGCACAAGCAATAGAAAGAAAAACATTTAGGATGATATGAAGTGTTTATAGCAGTCGGACCAACTTTGTGCTTGAATCTATAACTATACCTACCACTCATACTGAATAGTTTTGGTATAAAAAAGCCTGACCTTACCTCTTCTCCTTTCCTGTCTCCTTGTGAAATTTTTACCAACTACTATGTGACACTGCAGCTTGCCTGACAGTGAGTGTAGCGTCTGCCTCTAATGGATATTGTGTTGACTTTGTCCCACAGCTGCAACAAGCTCCATGCCCCGAGAAGAGCCGGGTAAGAAGGACAGCCCAAGAGAAGTGAATCATGCCAAGATGCCGGAGCCCACACCCACAGTTGACAGCCATGAGCCTAGGCTGGGCCCTCGGCCTCGTTCCCATAACAAGGTCCTAAACCCACCAGGAGGCAAATCCAGCATCTCCTTCTATTGAGAAGCTCCTGCTTTGCCTATAGCCAGACCAGACACTCAGAGATAGGGTATTGAATGTTAGCATTTCCTTTAACCCATGTGAGTCAGGGTGGGTGAGGGTTTGTCACAACTGGGGCTGGCTGCTCGTAGGCTTTATTGCTATGGAGAGAACTGCACAGAGGACTTGTGCCTTCCAGACTGTCAAATATATCTGTGGGAATAAAGTGAGAATGGTGTCCATTCTCCAGTTCTCTATCTGGAGCAAAACTATAAGAAGGGGGAGGGCAGGAGAAATGGTGCCCAGTAGCAGGAGGATTGGTGGGAACTACCTCATCCTTGTATTAGCAGTCTGCTGACTGATTGGGCATGTAGGAACAGTTGGAAAAAAAAAAAAAAAAAACCCAGAATACCTGTCCCTTGTGGGATGGTGGAGGAACACATAAGCAAAAAATTCTTAAGATGGGGTAGTGTCTACATTAAGCCCTCTCTTTCAGGATGTGCTTATCACCAAAATGGCTTCCACTTCTGAGAGTACCTCTGAAATCCAGTATCTCCTTTTCCTTTTTCCCCTCAGTATGTCATGTCCTACACTTTTGAAACATCCTGATTGCTCTTTTTGGTAGCAGTCAAGAGGAACCAAACAGTTATCCTCAATCTTGTCCTGTGTGGAAGGTTTTATACCCTGATCCTCTTGAGTTGTCCTGTTCATGCATCTAAAACCATAGCCAGGTCTCAAGTAGTAGACTGTCTTCCTCTGTAGGAGCTGACTTGGTTCTTGACGTGCCAGGTTTGCTTGTGGATTGTTCCTTCTCTTGCTCTCATTAGCCTTAAGTATAGATCTTTGTTCCTCACCAGTGATGCCGAGTTTCCCATCTATGGCTCTTCCTATACATGAGGCCCCTGGCTTATACAGGTCCTAAAACCTCAGCTGTGTCCTGGTGCTGTGTGTATTTGTTTTTTTTCTTGCTTTGTTCCTGTAGTTGGTGGGAAGAGCTGCTAAAGGACCTTCAGGTGTTAGGTTGGTTTCTTTACCAACATCTGAAAAGCTATTCTTAAGTTTCAGGTACACCAAACTCAGAAGAGCTGTCTTGGTCACCTTTAAAAAGCTTTAGATCTCTCTATCATGTTCATAAACATTGTTCCTTAGGCCTAAAGTCACAACTGTCATTTGACAACAGTGATACTGGGCTGGCATAGTTACCTTACTTCATCTGTCAGAGGTCCCTCCTGCTCTTCCCCACAGGGTTCCAGCTTTAGTTCCCTGCTTCCTTTCTGATGGGCATCTGTGAGAAGAGGTTCTGAGTGATGCCACTTTTGCTTTGAGTGCCTACAAAGTTCATAGCAGTTGTCAGTAATGTCCTCACTAAATTCTGGAAAAGCAACAACTCTACAGTCTCATTCACACTGACCTGGATGCTTTAAGTGCCTGCAAAAGCCACTTGCCAAGCTCTGTTTCCTATACTTGGTCCATGAGCGGTCTGTACATGGCTTTGACAACCAGAGTTTTCTCCCTTTAGTTGGCCTGCAAACTGGAGCCAAGAAACTCTATTCCATGTGATTCTGCAAGAACTCAAATGTGTTGTGGTTCAAAGTCATTAATGAGAATGTTGTTTGGAATTCAGAGCATTTATTCCATTTTCTTAAATGTCATAAATGATGTTTATTTAACCCAGACACTAACTTGTTTAGCTTATAAGGAAATACTACAGTGCTAGAAATGAATCACCTTTTCTAACTTAAGTAGGAAATTATTTGTGAATTCCAAATTGGATTGTCGAGAAGAAATCTGACCTCACTCTGGTGTCCCTGGGGTTAGCCCAGTGAGAGGAAAGCTCCCAGCTCTATCCCCATCAGCAGTTGGTTTACTCAACTCCCCATCTCCCCATTTTCTCTTTTCTTTCTCAAGGCTGGGCTCAAGGCCTGAGCAATCTCCTTTCCTATAAGGAGCAAATGGGATATTGCCCAACTGGGTCCAGTGGCACATGGTTATCACCTGCATTTGGAAGGTGCTGTTTGCATTAGGGACTGCCTGTATGCGGACACATGTTGTTCTCGCCCTCCAAGCTACATTGAGAAATTATTAGTCTCATTTTTATTAAGCCTTAAAATTTTTTAAGTGCATTTGGTGCCAACATTTTTCTAGAGCTGTATCAGAACAAGAAACCTGTCTTTACATCACAATGCAATTTTGATAGGAATCTTTTGTTATTTTTATGAGGCAGAATTGGGTATGACATTTGAATTAAACTTAGTAACCATGTACTCATAGTCTGTGTGTATTTGTATGTGTTCCTCAGCAGTCAATCTTGGGGCTGAGGGTTGAGGGGCAGGGGCAATGCCTGAAATCTGATCCTTATGGTTTTTTCATTAATAAAAGTTTAGTCCTCCACTCCTAGCCCCCAATATAGAGATGCACAAGTTTATCTTCTCAAAGCTTTGAACAGAAAGAATGAGGGAAATGCTATAAACTATTATTAATAGTTTAAGATTTCTGTAAGTATATTCTTTAGGACAGATGGTATGAGAGAACTCAACCTCTTCCAATTTGGCTTTGAGATGTCCCAGTGACCCAGTAACAAGCCTTGTTCTGAGTAGGTAAGCTGCCTAGCAGTTTTTTAAGATTGAAGTCCAGTAGAGAAAGGACAGGTTGGCTGTTTTCATGTGTTCAGCAAGCAAACTCATATCCTCATATATATTATATGGGATTAGTGGGGTTGTACATCATTCTTTGACTGCTGGACTGGGGCTTCAGATAAAAACAAGGCCTCAAAAAAAAAAAAAAAAAAAGCTGATGTGTTACCTGAAACACCATCTTGCTGGTCTACATACAGTTGGAAATGTGTGTTCCATGAACCAGGTTGGGCATTGGCAGTACATTGTCTATTAATAGCAGCTGTGCCAGCTCTAGGCATACACTGAAAGATGTCATAACATACATCTCCAGAGGCCAGACAGTGACTCTACCTGTGTTAGAGTGAAGACAAGAAATTCAAGTCTCCTAGTTCAGAAATAACACTGGTTCTTTTGATGTGGAATGTCATTGTTTTTATGTTAGCTCCTTCTGGACTAGCATTCTATTCCTAATTCCTAACATCTAGGCTATCATTAGTAATTCGTCTTGCCTTAAGCATAACTATAAAGTGCTTTTCTGAAGACCAACTCATGAAGAAATGAAAGGGACATTATAGGGATCCTGGGGACTTTGGCAAGTATTAGGGACTTAGTGATTTTGAAAACTTTGAAATGTGTTTGCCTATCTTACATTTTAGGGCCTTTTAGTAGGATAAAATATTCTAATTCAGCTTCCAATTTTCAGCATCAAACCAACTACTATTCAATAGATATCAAGAATTATGTCATTTTATTAAATTTTTCATGAAGAGATGGTTTGGATTAAATGTGCTTGCTGCTCTTGCAGAGGAATTCAGGTTAGTTTCCAACACCCATAGTGCCTGGTTCACAAACACCTGTAACATCAGCACCAGAGCATCTGATGCCCTCTGGCCTCCACAGGCCACCTGCACTTACATGCACACACATACCCCAATATGCACAGTTTTAAAAATCTTTTTTAAGGACTCGTGTGAATATTTTGCCTGTATGTATGTGCATTCTGTGCAGAGATGGCTCAGTGGTTAAGAACACTTGCTGTTTCTGAAGAAGACCCAGGTTCAGTTCTGAGCAACCTACATGGTGGCTCATAACCAGCTATATGGAAATGAGTGTACTTACATACAGGCAGATACTTACACATAAAAGAAATTTTTTTTTGGTAACTCTGTATTTATAAAATGAAAAGCTCTATCAAAATAACACTTTCACTGGGGAAAAAAACAATGGATCTACTCAAAGTAAACATTCACTTTGGTAGATTTCAGTGTAGGACAGTCCATAACAAGCATATTTGCCCTTATTTCCCCTGAGCTGCTCAACCTCCAAGTTAAGAATTTGTGTGTGTGTGTGTGTGTGTCTTTTTGAGACAGGGTTTTCCTGTAGCCCCAACTGTCCTGGAACTCACTATGTAGACCAGGCTGGCCTTAAACTCACAGAGATCGCCTGCCTCTGCCTCCCAAGTGCTGGGACTACAGGCGTGCGCCACCACGCCCAGCTTATGTTAAGAATTTTTAAAATCATTTAAACAGATTTTATCATGTTGCTAACTGGGTCATTCCATATCATCTTCAGCCAAGCTCTGAGCACTTAAAATTCTCTGATGGTTGGAAGCTTGGTCAGATGCAGCTGGAACACTGGTGGTGGAAGAGTCTGCTGTAATATTTGGCAACAGCTGCTGAGGCTGTCCACACACAGCAACTGCCATTCGTCAGGGGGTCTACAACTTTCTCATATTCACCTTGAGCTAACTCCTCACCAAGCTGTATTTCTTCAAGAAAGAATTTCTGAACAGCTTCAGCATCTTTAAGATCAGGTAGCTTGGAAAGTCTAGCTCTCTCCTTGGCAAGTTTCTGCTTCCTTGAAGTTTAAGGGCGGCCCACGCTGGTTAAGGGGTGCCACGATTTTCCTCTGATGAACCACCTAAAAGATATCACAGGTATGAAATAAAGCTGAGCCACGCGAGGCGCGGCCCTTTGGACTTCCCACGGTCTCTCTAGCATTCACTCATATCTTGGAGGCGCCTTAAAAGAAATTTTTAAAAATACATCTTTAGGGGCTGGAGAGATGGCTCAGCAGTTGACAGCATTGACTGCTCTTGCAGAGGACCTGGGTTCAATTCCCAGCACCCACATGGCAGCTACTAATGTCCTTAACTCCAGTTCCAGGGAAATCCAAAGCCCTCTTCTGACCTCGGAGGCATTGCACGACAGAGGTGCACTCACATACATGCAGGCAATGCACTTGTACACATTAAAAAAAAAAATCAAGTTTTTTTTTCATTTGGTTTTGACCAGTTTCAAGCATCAAATCTGTCCTAGTTATATGCATAAGGGTCTTTTTTTCTTTCCCAAGTTTATGTCCCAGTCATCATACAGTGGTGCCCTATTGTATGCAGTGTTCTACTTAAGAAGTTTACAGGTTTTGAGTTACTGGGAAACAAACACCTAAAGCAAAGTGCTAAAACAGCAACAACAAGCTTGCATTGTAACTTGTTTACCAGGAAGAATTACATATTTCACCCATTTATCCTGGTTCTTAGTTTTGACAATTTAAAACTAATAGGGTAACATTTGTTATTGCATGTACTCTTGCAGTATGTCCCTTTTACATGCTAGCTTTGATAATATGTAGGTGGATAATAATGTAGGTTCAGCTTAGCAGGCTTGGAAAGTTAAACCAGTATCAAAACCCAGGCAACCCTAAACCAGTGATTTCTTAAATGTCTCTATAGCAAATTACATATATATTTAAAAAATATTTATTATTTTTATATGTATGTGTGTATTGCCTGCATGTAGGTAAGTGCACCCGTGTTGTGCAAAGCCCACGGAGGACAGAAGAGGCTGTCTGTCCGATCCCCTGGAACTGGAGTTATGGACAGTTAGCTGCCATGTGGGTGCTGGGATTCCAACCCGAGTCTTCTGCAAGAACAGCCAGTGTTCATAACTGCTGAGCCATCTCTCCAGCCCCCAGCTAATTATATTTTTTAAGGGGGGGGGAGCATGAACAATGTTTAAGTGTTCAGGGTGTCATCTACAGAAGGGTTCACAGGTGAAGGGTAGGATATGGGGGCTGGAAGAGATGTCTCCCAGGGTTTAGGAGCACTTGCTGCTCTTCCAGAGAACCCCCATTCAGTTCACAGCACCCATAAGGGAGGCTCACAACTGGCTGTAAGTCCAGTTCTACAGGATCCAATGCCCTTTTCTGGTCTCAAGTACTATGCACCTAAAATCTTTTTTTTTTTTTTTT